TATTCTTTTAAAGATTTATTTATTTATGCATACAAGAACTGGGGTAAAGGCTAGAGGTGTTGGGGGTCAGAGGATTCACCAGAGACAGAGTGGGGAGCAGAACAGGCGAATTGACTGAAATACAATGCTGAGGGGAGCAGCGGGGGAGTCAGGGGAGGTCTGCTGTGCCATGTGGGTATCTCCCTGGTGGGGATCGAACTCGTGCTGCAGTGACTGCAGATAGCTTCATAGGCTGCATCTTAACCCCTGCACCACCAGGGAGGCCCTTCATTGAAAAATTTCCATGTGAGTCTTTTTTACTTTGTTTTTTTGGTAATTTTAATATTCACTTCTGGGCTCTTTAAAGTTGTTCTTGCAGTATTCCATATTAGTCCATTTCAGGTTTACAACTTTTAATCAAGAGCATTTGAAGATGTCAAATTAGGAGTTCTGGCCAGTTCTAGTTATTTTCCTTAAATGGGAGCTAGACAGGCTTTTTAAAAAAATCATGTCCTTGCCTTTATAAAGAGGTCCTTGCCTTTATAAAGATTTCATCACTGTCTGTCTCCTAGTCATTATATAACTGCTTTCATTTTCTTTGGAAAACTGATCAAATTTAATCCTTCTAACATGACTACAACTGCTTTTCTAACCTCTTAGAAAGAAAATAAAATCAACTAGTCAACTATTCCATAAAACACACCAATTAGAACTCGTTTGCACAGAACCTCAGGTCTAGCTAAGAAATTTTCTGTATGGATGCTTTCTTTATTCATTCCCATTTTGTAAGATACTTTAAACTCAGGACCCCAATTTTCAAAAACAGAAGAGTCTGGGGCCTAGAAAGCTCTTTAAGGCCAACTTAAATAACTTGAAAGGTGCTTGTGTCTCCCAACATTAGCCAGATGTCAGTTTTCAGTATACATATCCATATAATTCCCAATGAACTATACCAGTGCTGCAGTACAGGTGATTAGCTTTCTTTTTTTTTTTTTTTTTTAGAGGCATGTTTTATTTATTTATTTTGTTTGTTTGTTTGTTTGTTTTGTTTATACATGCACTGGGTACAGTCAGAAGCGCGGGAGGGTGAGAGAATTCACCAGAGCCAGAGCGGGGAGCAGAGCAGGCAGAAGGACCGAAGTACACTGCTGAGGGGAGCAGCGGGCGGCAGGAGAGGTCTGCGCGCCATGTGGGATCCTCCGCCGGTGGCCGGGGTGCAGCCGGGGATCGAACCGGCGCCGCAGAGGCCGCGGGCAGCTTCGCAACCCAGCGCTCAACCGCTGCGCCACCGGGGAGGCCCCAGGTGATTAGCTTTCTTAGTCCATTCACTTAGCTTTGCTTGCTCATCTTTGTGTATGCAGAAACTGAAAATAGTTGGTAAAAAGGGATCACATCATCCTAGAGAACATTCAATTTTTCAAGTGTTGCTTAAATGTGGCTTTCAAAATGCCTATTTAGTAAAGTTAAATGAATGCAAAACCTTCTTTTCTTGCTGACGAGAATGCATATTTCACACTCAAAAAAATTATTCACTATAGCCGCAAGAAAACAATTCCCTGTCTAGTGTGTTAAAAGATCTCAAAAAACCAAAGCCCATCATACTCCAGGCCTTTCCTTAGGTAAGGCAAAAATCATAGCTTCCACCTTTTTTGAGGCTTTATATCATCTATTTATCAGTATTTAGGCTCCTCATTAATACAGCAGGGAATCTCAGTAAAGTCCAATTTGTAGTTGTCACTCTGGAAAGAGCCTTGGGTCTGTGCTGTATTATGTAACCATACCAACTTACATAATAAAACCATTCTGCCCCTTAACGGGAAATTTTTAACGAATGAGTTCGATTTTGTTCTGGGGACTATCAGCTTTTAATTGGATGACATGCTCAAGAAGTCTAGATACTTTCCCTCCCCCCACCCCCACCCCCACCAGAAAGTTACTCTAATGAGCTTGAGTTCATTTACATTTCATTTGAATTTTTAGATTTTTTTTCCAAAGTCACATCAAGGACATAGAGCTCTTCCCGCAACTTGTTGTAATAACCCTGTTTATTCGATTCTCCCAAGGACAGTTATTTTTTTTTTCTTTTCACTCAGCCTTTCCATTACCATCACTGTTGACCCATTATCTGGTATATTATGAAGACTAGGATAAAACCCATCCACAAACTGCTCAGACTGTCATTTGAAGAACCTGAAACATTCTTGCCAAGAACGCTTGAATTGCCAACCTGACAGACTCTAGTACTCAGTGAATACACACAGTTTTCACCGTGCTAAAAAGGCAGCCAGGCAGTACCTGAGATGCTCCGAGCGCTCTTATAGGTGTGAATCCTGGAACCCTAGTTACAGAATGCATAGCAATAGATTCCAACATTGCCAGCCGTGCACTCAGCAATACACACATTAATCAAGGGCACCGTCATTTTCTTCCCACACCTACCTTTTAATTATATAGTGAAAAAATAAAAGGGTTAAGAAGTACAGTGTATAAGACCAGTTCCTCTACTCAGAACATTAATCAGTTGGCTATAAATGGAATTGGGGAATTCAAAGTGTACTGTAATATATCAGGAGGGGGGTTAACACTTAAGTGTGTAGTCTCTCCTTTGTAGAAAAACCAGTGTTGCTTTGTTTAATTCACTTAAAGCAGGTATTCTGCAGCAGCAAAGGCAGTTTTCAAGACAACCCCTAAAAATGATACGCAGTGACAGTGTTGGGTGCAAGTCATGGTTACTTCAACAACCAAGAGAAACAATTTTTCTGGAGATGACTATCTGACCTGAAACTTGCGTGGTCTGGGTTATTTTGAACAAGGGTCTGCTATATACTATTCATGTACAGTTCCTAAATTCCTCAGTGTGAAAGGGCAGCAGATAAAGTGCAGAGGCCACTAAAACTTGAACCTGCCCCACCACCCTGCCCCAAGAAGCTATCAAACCAATTTTCTAAAATCTTCATTATACCCAAAATTGTAAATGAGAGTTAAAAAACATCAACAATGATCAACGTTCAGGATTTTGACTTCTGGAAAATCTTAATTACATAATCAAGCAATTTGAGAAAAAAGTTTTCATTTTTCCTTAAAAAATCAGGTTACATTAGTAAGATTAATAAAAAAATAAAAACTACTCCTATGTGATCCCAGTCTCAGAGCTACTTGCATCTGCAACTGTATTTCCTTTTTTTGATTGCATGAAATACAATGCTTTTAGGTTTTCAAATGGACTTCCCTAAAAAAAAAAATCCAAGGGGAGATTTCAATGTCATTTTCTTTGAAAAGAAAAAAGTTGGGCCTCCCCAGTGGCGCAGCGGTTGAGCGCTGGGTTGCGAAGCTGCCCGCAGCCTCTGCAGCACTGGTTCCATCCCCGGCTGCTCCCCGGCCACCGGAGGAGGGTCCCACATGGCGCGCAGACCTCTCCTGCCGCCCGCTGCTCCCCTCAGCAGTGTCCTTCGGTCCTTCTGCCTGCTCTGCTCCCCGCTCTGGCTCTGGTGAATTCTCTCACCCTCCTGCGCTTCTGACTGTACCCAGTGCTTGTTTAAATAAATAAATAAATCTTAAAAAAAAAAAAAGTTTATACTGTTGGCATTTAAACACATATGAATGAAAACTGTAATTTCAAAGCAAAGTTCATGAGCTTGCTATATAAAGAGGAACCCAAAAGGGCTAATGTTTTTAAGCCTCTGAGTAGAAGAATTGGAGAGTTTGAAATATTTGGAAGGCAGAAAAATTCCACATGCAAGACAGACATCCAAAATGGCTCAACATAATTTATTTTTTTTATGTTAAAATGTACAGAGTTCTTTTGAAAGTACTTGCTAGAAAGGGGAAAAAAAGTGATATTACATACAAGGAGAGGAAGGGAGACCAACTGGCCCAGGAGCGCATGACATGGAGAAATACAAAGGCATCTAGGCACCCTTCCCCTTAGCTTACAAGTCACCATGAACAAAGTACAAAGAGGTTACAAAACAGGAAAAGCAAATATAAACAGACAGGAATAGACTTAGCTTCATTTGTACATGCGGCTTTTAGAGGCATCTGGAGCTCTATTCACACACTCTAGAGATCTCTTTAAAGAGAATTTTTATCTTTCTTAAAATAGTTTTTAATATTCTACAACAAAGATAAAAAATTTTAAAGATGGAATGAAATGAAAAAGCTCTTATTTTAAAAGGCATCAAAGTCACTAACAGTGAGTTTTTAAATTTCTTTTTTAGAAGATTACCCAAGTTATCTTGCTAAAATACATTTTTTTTAAAACAGAAGTGAAAAAATGACAGGTACCAATATTACTGTGTTGGATAATTTCTTTTATAATATAGAAAAGAACATTTTCTCTACAATAGTTCTACAGTCACAAAAAGGCTTGTGGAAAAGGGAGCTGCCCGATTGAAATTTTTTTTTAAGAAAGAAAGAAACCAAACACAACCGCAAATCAACAGAAATTGAATTCACGGCCCTCATTTCAACAGCTTCTCCTTCTGCCTTGACCCCCCTCCTCCCAATATACCTCCCTCCCGACCCACCCATCCCACCCCACCAGGAAGCAATGACATAGCTGAAGATGTAGGAGGGGGCAGCACAGTGCACTTTCTACATAGATGACTGGGAACCGGAATAGTATATACGGAGAAACTGGGTCCTACACAGCCTTGCACATGCTAAGAATCGAGAGCGGCAAGATGTGGAATTCTGCCTTTTCTATCTAACACATTTAATTGAGAAAGTCAATTAAAGTGTATTTAAAAAACCAACAAACCTGTGCATTTGAAAATTTTAATGCCTAATTAGTACTTCAAAAATTTATCTATATAAAATGTACAAATAAAGGAGAGAATTTAATGCTTACAGGTATTTCTTTAAGCAGTACCTCCCCCTTTTGGATATTTGACTGCACATACCAAGTGGTATAATAGTTTCCATCTTCTAATGATGGAAAATTATATATACATACATATATATATATGTGTATGTGTGTGTGTATATATATATATATGTATATATATATATATATAAAATTACCTATCCCTGGAGCAAGTAATAGGAAGAGAATGGGCAAACTGGCTGCACAAGAGAAAAGAGAATGGAATTGGGAGTAACACAGAAGCTTGCTAAATCCTGCTATCCAGATTTGCCCTACTATGCTGGTGGTTGGTTTATCCCTCTTCTCTTTAGCCACTCACAGGAGAGGGGCTGGTGCACTCTGATTCACAGGGGGGTGATCTCAAGATCTCAAAAGAAAAATGCAAACTAGAGGTATGTATCATTGAAGTAGCTATAAAACTCATCATGATCTCTCTTACAACACACATTCTGCATCATCTCTTCCAACATAAAATAACCAGTGTCAAAGGTTTGTCAGGTATTTTTCAAATCACTGAAATGTACAGTCATTCACCACCACTTTATGTAACGATGTAAGAGGCTAATCAACGGGGATTGCTGTTTGAGTTTAATCGGAGTCAAAGGCTCAAGAATCAAGACCCTTAGCATCTCAAAGTACATACTAAAAACAAGAGGCTGCGTGGAATCTGTGCATTATGGCTGATTCACCAGGTGGTAAAAAACAGAGGTCAATTTCTTCTTGATTGTAATTGACCACCTATATTCCTCCAAGGCTGGAGTAGGAATGCAAACAGCTTTCCTTTGAGAGATTCTGCTGTTAATTGAGACTTACAGTATTTTTGTGTCTCTGAGTGCTGAGTGGGAACAGTTAAAAAAAAATTATATTACACTTGATTTAAGAAAACAAACATTTCAATGAAGTCCATCTATAAAGAAACATTCTTGGGAAAGGTTTCAAGAGGGGTATGTGTGTGTATGTGTTTGTGTATGTGGAGGGAGTGGAGGGGATTTTAAAAGGAGAAGCATTTCCTGCCTCACTTTATTAATAATAATAATAATAATAACAATAATAATAAGTTTAAGGAGCTTGGGTTGTTCTCCATGACCCCATCCGAGTCTCCCATAAGTGCCTCCTGCTGGAATGAAGTAGGAAATGAAAGGTTGGGTTTGGAGGAAAGGGTCTGGTTAACCCTCGAGATGTATATATAACATTTAAAAATGACAACATTGGGAGCTGCAAACAGTGAGGGGAAACATACATCTTAAAATAAAACGAAGGTAATTTACTTTTACACAAATTCTGTCCATGTGGTGTATAAAGAAAGTAAGGCTCTTTTTAATTATGAAAAGGTTTTGTGCATGTTTCCCCTATCCCCAAATCCATTTTTAGATGAGTTCTATTGTAAAATGTTCAAGATTGTGAAAAAAACCAAAACCCAGAACAAAATGAACCCAAAAAAAGAGAAGACTGGGTTTTCTAAAAAATAAAATAAACCAAAGAAAAATTCCTCTAAATCTACAGCAATATTTTAACTGGAAAAAAGGTCCATTTTTCTCTGGTTTGTCAGTATAAAAGGTTCCTTTATTTATATATATTTAAGTTTTTAATTGCAAGTTCATCTTGCTCATCTTCTCATGTAAGGTCCATTGAGTGACTGCTTGGGCACACCAGCAGCATTCATGTAGCTATGATGGGAAGGGCCAGTATACATCATGTTTCCATGAGGGTTTGGCTGCATAGGCTGCTGGGTATAGGCCTGGCTCCCCATCATCCCCATCTGCATCTGCATAGGATACTGTGCTGTCTGGTTCATGTAGGCAGGGTTACTATGGTAACTGCTGTTCATCATGGGCTGTGTCATTCGATAGCTGTTCATGGCATTCAAGGTGTTCATATTCATGGAATTGACATTATAGGCAGGGGTTGGCATTAAATTAACCCCCATGTTCATGCCACGCTGAACAGCTAATGCACGAGGGCCAGCCTGCATGGCAACCGCTGGTGGGCTGCGGCCATACAGCTGCTGTTGGTGAGCAGCCGCAGAGGGCAGTGGTGCAGATTTGGAGCGGATAGAAATGTGCCCCTTGACTGGCATTTGCCCTTGTAACCTCTGAGTGTGAGGAATGCCAATATTGGTGGCAGACATGTTGCACTGTAGCAGAGGTGATGTGAGGTTCATGGTGGTGGATGCCAAGTTTGGGGGTGGCGTCATGGTGGCTTGTGCTTGAGGGGTCCCAGCTAATGGATGAGATGGAGCTAGCTGAGCCAGTCCTGTATTAGACAAAGAAACACTGGTTGCATAGGAAGTCACAGCAGGAGAATGGCTATAAGGCATGGCATGAGGGTCCATAATGGTGTTAGTCAGCTGCTGCAACTTGGCTAAACTGAAGGTGGCTGATGGTTGAGAATAGCTGCCAGCACCAAAATCCCCTGGAATCCTCTCATAGATACTTATGTTTCCAGTGCTTCCAGACTCTGGTATCTCCATGATCATAGGCGCTGGAGTGAAACTGTTATTCATACTACACTGTGAGAGGGAGGGCTGCTGCTGGGGTTGGGGTGGAGGTTGAGGCTGCTGGGGCTGAGGTGGCGGCGGCGGCTGCTGCTGCTGCTGCTGCTGCTGTTGTTGCTGCTGCTGCTGTTGTTGCTGTTGCTGCTGCTGCTGCTGCTGCTGCTGCTGCTGCTGAGGGGGTGGAGGCTGTGGTGCTGGTTGCTGCTGCTGCTGCTGTTGCTGCTGTGGTGGTGGCGGCGGCGGCGGCTGCTGCTGGTTACTGGGAGGCCTCTCGACCACACAACTCTGAGGTGACTTGATGTTGCAGTTGGAGGCAGGCTGGACACTGCTCTGCTGCATCATGCTGCAGCTGTTGCCCATGTTTGCCATTTGCTGAGTGACAACACAACTGTTCTGGGTGAGACTGCTGGAGGATGACAACCCACCATAGGAGCAGCTGCTCTGGGAAGAGTTATTTCCACAAATGCTGCCGCCCATTGTGGAATCATAACTGCTAGGGTTCTCATAGTTTTCTGTGGTGCTCTCAATGCTGCCCAGATCACTAAAGCCACTGTCCACCACCTGCTGAGAATGGTCTGATACGGAAGGCACATCCATCATGGGGCTGGTCTCCATGTTCTGCATAGAGGGTGCGGACAGGGATCCTTGTTCCGGGCTGATCTGGGTATAACCACTTTCAAGGGCAGGCACGTTGGGGCTGCTGACAGAACGGACTGACTGGCTGGGATGAGACTGAACAGAAGAGAGTGGGCTATTATGTTCTGAAGCATGGCAGTCTTCAACCATTGACATCTGAGGGTCTTCATCAGCCTGGGTGTAACTCTGCAGGGTCTGACAAGCTGCAAGAGTTTCTTCACAGTCCTGGTAGGCTCCCTCATGCTCATTGCTTTCTTCTTGGGTCAAAGACTGCACTGCTTGTACAGTTTCCAGGTCCAGTTCACTATGAGGAATCTCTTCTTCCTCTTTTAACTCAATTAATTCTTCTTTAGAGTTTGAATCTTCTTCATGATCATCCTCAGACCCTGGCATATTCTCTGATACCACAGATGTCTCATGGGAAGTCTGTTCATCTTCAGAATCTGGTTCCGTTTCATCTTTATCCTTTATATTCTCCCTACTGCTCTGCATATTAGTATCTAAAAAAGACTCCTGGCCACCAGACTCCTCCTTGACATTTTCTCTAATGGGCTGCTCCTCTAACTCTTTTTGCTTTGTGGATTCCAGATGACCATCATCTTCATCATCTGCATCATGGTCTTCATTATGGTTTGTCTCTACTGCCACTTCATCCTCTTCCTCTTGCTCTTGTTCTTCCAGTTCTTGTTGTTCTTCCTCTGATTGCCTCTGCTCTTCTAAGACACGAGGTTTCTCTTCTTCCTCTTCCACCTCAGGCTCTTTTGTTTCAGTCTCGGGACTATTGCTGCTATCCACTGGAGAAGTCGCTCGAACTTCACTGCTGGTTGTATCTTCTTCTTCTCCTTCTTCAACCTCTTCTGTTTCCACAGCTATCTCCTCTTCTTCCTTCCTTTCAGTCAAAGGCAAGTCTTCTTTTGGTTCAACAGTTTCTTCATTCTCTTGAATTTTGGGTTTACGTCCGGATTTAGGAATGGGGACAATGGGCTCAACAATGCACTCTTGAGTAGAAATGGGTAGGATTTCCCGATTCAACTTAAATCCTGGTTTGCGACCAGGTCTTTTCTTCCAGTGGATTGGTTTGCGGCTCTTGCCTTTGGGCCATCCTTTTTTCTTTTTCATAGGTGTGGATGTATCTGGCTCAAGTGGAGAATCCTTCACATCGCATTTTCTCAAGAGAGATACTGGCTTTAGAATAGGAGTGTCTGTAAAAGGGGATTAAAAAATGTTACAAAAACTTATAATTTGCAGGACCTTTTCTGAGACAAGCATGTACAACAGAAATAATTTTAATAATTGTCATAAACTTCTGATTATCTTCAGCTTAAGAATCTAAAGGAGAAACCTAATTAAGGACATCTTCTAAAGTCACACAATGAATTGACAGAACAATGAGAGAATCCTGGCCAATATTCTGTTACCATCCACAAGTCAAACAAAGCCAGTTCAAATTCATCACTACCACCTATACAGCTTTGGGAAATTACTCTTAAGATTCAACTTCATCATCTACAAAAAGGAGATGAAAGCTTTATAAAGATGTAAGATGTACATAATAGGTACTTATTACCAGTTGTCTTTACTGTGTTACAAATAAACTCATTTTTTCCTGTTTGCTTAGCTTCCACAAAGCCATTTCTTCATGAGCCAATATCTCCAGGCCATGATTAAGTAATCCTACATGAATAACTACATAATCAATGTGTTTGTATGCAAATAACTACAATACATTAGTCCTAGACAAATACTGATTTGAAGAAGTTAAAGCACCAAAGACAATGGTTTATCAGAAATAACCTTGATATTATAGCATTTTCTCACCATTTTTTTTTCTATTTTAAAAAATTGGTGGCACAAGGGTTAAGCATAGCACTG